GGATTTGGAGCCACACACAAAATTAAAGTGAAATGTTCCCTTTATTTTTTTTGAGCAGTATATATTATATCGGACATGATCAGACAAAAATATACAAGGACGACACAAAATCAAATATCTTACTTTACATAAATCTTTTTTGTAAGCCCGTAAGTCAAAGTTGATTTCATTTTAATAAAATGTATGTCAACAGTAGAGTAGCATATTGCTGTAAAAGTCTTTAAAGTGTGGAATCAAGATTATAAAGGTATAAGCTCTCCCCTCAGGTGGTATGTTTCACATATTTCCCGTTAGTCACGTGAATTTCAGGATGACGGTCATTATCAAGATGGCTGCCATTTTTTACCATTTTAAATCAGTTTTTGCTATAAAATGCTACCCAATATCAGGACTTAGATAAACTTTATGGCACATAATGTTTCTGGATATGGTCATCATATCCATACAACATTAATGTAGCATTGAGTAGCAAAATCAAATGCTAGAACTGTAACTGAAGACTTTTCTGTTGGTGTTACATCTTCATCTCCTTCCAGTTAACGACTCGCAGATTGATGGTTAGCGTTAGCTTCCTCTAATGTTCTTATGTGTTTAGCTTTAGCTCCGCTAAGATTCTTTCTTAGTGAATTATTGGAACATTTTTGGCCAGCTGTGCCCACCATTTGCAATAACTGCTGCTGATTTTAGTTCAAACATATATTCTCCATTATAACCATGGTAGCCATTTTGAAAAATGTCCACAGGAAAAAGGAGACACAAAATCAAGAAAATGTATATGATTTGTGGTTTCTATTGTTCAAAATATGAAGCTTGTTTTGACAGCAAACACATTCATCCAATTCGTGATTTTGGTGCAAAAATTATTTTTCCATGGCAACCATGGAGGCCATCTTGAAAAATCAAGTTGGTCCAATGATGAATGATTTGACACCAGAAGTAATGATTTCTAATGAACATTGGCAAATTTAGTGTAAAAATACATTTTTCAAAAAAGCAAACCCCACAGGAACAGCTGTGCCAAGTTACGTTCTTGTTTCCAAATGTGAACAATTTTGTCGAAATATTTAATTATCTGTTGCACTACAAGCTAAGAAGTGCGGTGAGCTACCGTCCCATCTTCGCTTACTTAATATGGTTGATTATCTGTGTGGACGCTGAAAAGGAGAAATTCACATGTGATCATTACTCCTGCTGCAGACCTAGCTGCATGATGAATATGAAAACATTAAATAATAACAGAGTACGTCTCCACATCTGATTGGTGCAAACCAGCAGTGGTGAAGGCAGCGTCCCTGCAAACACAAACCTCAGTATTGTTGGGAATTCTCTACGACTAACACTCTGCAGTGCATTTTTATGAAGTGAAAAGATAAACACACATGGGTTTTGAAAATAAGAGCCACTCCCACTGTGAGACATGGTAGAGGCAGCATCATGATGGGGGATTGTTTTTTGTTTTTTGTTGTTTTTTTTTCAGCATCAGAGTTGATTACAAGGTAAAACTTCATATGTTAGGATGACCTAGTCAAAGTGGAAACCAATATTACTCTTTCCGGGCTGGCTGAGTTTAGAAAAGACATAAAATGTGGAAAAATTTAAAGGGGTGAATTATTTTGTACTGTATTTTTTATACCCATAGCAAAATAAACTGGGCATATTATGATTTTAGGAGTAAAGTCAGAACTAAGCACCTTTGATGAGGGAAGCGTGCAGTTCTGAAGTTATTTAGAAAACAGTAGCTGCTGTCAGAGTTGATCCAAAAGGACAGAATCTGCAGCTTTTCTTTCTTTTCTCATTTAGAAAAAAGGGAAATGAGCCAGAGAGAGGTAGGCCGAAGATAAAAAAAAATTACACAAAAACAAGTAATTCTGGTGGGAGAAATAATAAACCTTTAAAAATGACTGAGAAATCGTCAAGGCAGCTTCTCTGAGAAAACATTTAAAGCTAAAGTCACACAGTTACTGCAAGTATGTGGTGAAAAGAAAAGACACGTCTATGACTTCTGCTGTCATCTACATACAGCCGAGGCTGTCCGTAACCTGGTTACGGAATAATTACAACACCGGTGGATTGAAATGTTTCTCTTCTGAGGTGAAGTGGTCGGTTTCGACAGATGGCGCACCAATTCGGTTTCAGTGCCTCACAAAAGATGATCGTGAAACTTTTCCAGCATTTTGATCCAAAACAACCACGAATCTCAATGCATTTTGTTAGTTATGTACGTGACGAACCTACAAATTGGTATGTGATTGTTAAGTGGAAGAAAAATGCTTTACAGATGTTTTTTGTTTTTTTACAAAAAAAAAATATAAATAAATCTGAAAAGTGCGGCGTGCATTTGGATTCTGCAGACTGCAGTTGAAGTTCACCTTCCAGCAGGAAAATGACATAAACCACAGGTGTCAAACTCAAGGCTCAGGGGCCAAATCCAGCCCGCTGTAGCTTTATATGTGGCCCTTTAGATTCCAGAGGAATGGAAGAATAGAAGCTTCAAGATAGCATTGTTCAAGATTATTTTATCAATCAAATCAAAGCAGTTTTCATGATTTTACACAAAATCAACAGATTCTCCTGCACTTTTTTATGCTAACTCATAATTGTGAGTTTATGGCAAATTTTCTGCAAAAATGGTCAAAAACATCACATTTAAGCAATGTTAACTCCAACCTGCGGGTGGCAGTGTTTCTCACTTCTACTCCTCTGTTGACTCAGATTTACTTGATGTCAGGTTAGTCTGGGATTGATGTGGAGAGTGACAAAAAGTCACAGGTACCGTCATACATAAGCATAAATATTGCAAAATTCCTTGCCAAATTACTAAACACTAAATGTCTAAATCACTTGAACACAACAAAAACACAAAATATTACCAAGTATTTTTTATAGTTTCTAGTGCAAATATCTTAAAACACTTAAAATGGGACAAAAAAAGCTTCAAAAGGGACATTTTTCGGTCAATAATTCCTTAATGTTGAAATAAGATTAAGTGAAATAATCTGCCATTGGAACTAGGTTATAATCAATATTAAGGAATTATTGACTCAAAATGCCTTTTTATATCTTGTTGAAAAGTTACATGTAAGTTATTTTTGTCTTATAAAGATATTTGCACTACAAACTAGACAAACATACTTTTATAAATAATGTTTTATTTTTCTTCCACCTTACAATTATTCACTGTGTTGAAGTCTGTCACATAAAATCCCACTAAACGTCTCTGAAGCTAGCAGCTATAACACAATAAAAACCTGGAAAAGTTCATGGTTGTAAATACTTCTGCAAGGCACTGTGTACATACATGTCCAGTAAACAGTGAGATTCAGTATCTGCAAAACAACAGCAGCGGGGGTTGTCGCTGTTTCCGGAGATCCCGTCAGGTTTTTCCGTCGCCGCCGGCAACCAGAAGTCTCTTCCATCACATCCAGAGAGCCTTGAATCCTGGCTGGCCCTAAGTTTGCAGGGGGAGCCACTGTCCGAGTCCTTCCAGGAAACCCCGCGCGTTCGTGACGTAGAAGTCGACGTTCTGAGCGAAGTCGGTGCAGATGTTGGAGTAAGTGTCCACCAGAGTGCAGTAGAACGCAGTCCCGCCTATGCTGATCACCACGGTGACCAGACACAGCAGCAGCAGGATGAGACAGGAGTCTCCTCCGACATCATCTACGAGGAAAACACAAAAGTTAGAGACCAAAGGAGGCATGGAGATCTTCAGTTCCGGTTTGTCGCGCCGCACCTTGGTCTACACCGTCCTCTGGTTCGCTGAAGCGAACTTTGCGTTTGGACGTCTGTTTGTCAGTGGTGGTGGCAGCGCTCGGGGGAGGAAGTCCGTCCAGCGAGGCTCGCCTCCTCTTCAGGATGGACACCAGGCCGTCCGGGGACGAGCTCTGAAGGAGACGTACATGTCATTTCTCTTCTAACTTTTGAACTCTTCACCGCAACACAAAAAGCAGAACAGAGGTCAGATAGCAAAGATCACAAGCAGGGCGTTGACCCCTGGCGGTCACAGCGATTAGCTCTTAAGCAGGACAAACAATCCACTGGAAACAAACCGCCAAAACCGGGCCGTCCGTCGAGACTTCTGCCTCCATTTGCCGCGATTGCGAGTGCATCAGTTAATCCGTGAGGTCAGTGTGTCAACCGGAGGGTAAATATCACAGTGATCGGCAGCCAGTCAGCAGAGGCTTTATCAGGGTGTAATAAATGACCTTTGTTCTGATCCGCATGACAACTTGGACCCAATTGGACACAGCCCAAAGCCAAGAGCAAAACCTTTAAAGGTTCAGCTTATCAACCAGACCATAAATCCATCTGTCATGTTAATGACCAGGTCCTTTGGAGAATGATTGGATCACTTCCTTCATGAGAGTTTCTTATTTTATTATCATTTCATCAAGGTGTGGTGTTGAGAAGACATAAAACCAACTAAATGTTAAAAGTAATAAATCAATATATGAATAAAATTCTTCCTTTTTCTTAAAGAGCCATCACAAGATTTCACTAAGTAGTAGTAAGAGGTCTGGTTTTTACCAGAGTCCAAAATGATTCACTAGAGAAAGTCTCAGGATGTTTACAGAGTCAACCCCACCGTCACTCTACAGTAGTGGCAGGGTGATGATCTGGAATTACGTTCCATTGATTCAGTTGACCGTGGACTTCCCTGAGTCAAATGGGCATGGTGCGGTTTTAGCGCCAAAATGAAGACTGTCGCTAAACCAGTGGTAGCTCCTGGTCACAGGAAGCTATATTCGTTCTAAAACCAGATACTGATCTGATTAATGACAGGCAACACCACTAACTTAGCAACCAGCACTGGCAAATAAGACAAAGACTATGACAAAGTACTAGCTTTTAAAGGCTAGTGACTAGCATGACTAGGCTGGTTGCTCCCTGGATTGCCTACTTCTGTTGGTCATTAGCATGGATAGGCTACCATTACCTTTTAAGGCAATGCATTAGCTAGGCTATCTTATGCTAATACTAGCCTATTGTGTGCCAATGCTAGCAGTAGCTAGGATAGGCTAATGTTAGGTCAATGCTAGGATAGCATTAATAAAGGGTAGGCTAATGCTATCATATTTTCATTTTTATAACATTGGAGAAATGTGTTATGAGTGAAATAACCTGCCAATGGAACTAGTACATTTTTCATCAATATGAAGGAATAATTGACTTAAAACAAGCTAATATTTCTCATTGAAAAGTTACTTGTACGTTAGTTTTTACTTATTTCAAGTGCACTGAGATGTTTCCACTAGAAACTGGATTAAAAATGACTTGGTAAACTGTTGTGCTTTTGCAGTGATAAGAAGCGTCTTCTCAAGCCTGATCTGAATTACACAACTGCTGTGATCTTGAATCCATCAGGCTGGAACAGCTCTGACTTCGCCTTAGAGGAAAACCACTCCCAGTCGCCTGGACACCGTGTGTCGGCTCACAGCGGCCAACGCGGGCGGAGGCCGGGGGGATGAGCTCACAGAGGAACCACGGAAAACATTCATGGGAGTGTGAGGGGAAACAAAAGGCCAGGTCAGGACGGAGGACGGTTTGGGGTTTCCAGTTAACCAGAGAACAGGAAGGGGAAGAAAGAGACACAGAGACTGACTGATTGGAGGAAAACAAAGAGGAAAAATGTCATAAGGGCGTTTAGGGTTTGTGGATCGTTGCGTCTGGAATATTTATCTCAACATTAAGTGACATTTATCAGACGTAGCAGGTGACAAAGTGAACTCTTACGCCCTCAGCGATGGAGAGTTTGGCCAGGTCTTTGTCCGACGCCTGCGCTACTCCTGCTGGCCACTCCACCTTCACCTCCTCTTCCTCCGGTGTGTCCTCGCCATGTGTCACATGCTCCTCTGCTTCCACTTCCTGCTCCTCTGCTTCCACTTCCTGCCCTTCCTCGAGCGCCTCTTCCCCTTCGTCCTGCCGCTCTTCCTCTTCCTCCCTCTGTAGTGAGGAGAGGTCTGACTGGGACATCATGCTCTGGGTGTTCTCAGGCTTGTTGGCTGAAGACAGATAGAGAAACACAGAAGAGGGTCAAAAATCACATTATTTGGAATAAATCAAACTTTATGTAGACTTCTTTTACTAAACTTTTCCTCTGTTAGGTCAGTTTGGATTACCAAATCATTCGTATTTGCAAATTTCGGAGCTCCAGAAGTCTATTTCGTCCTTCGGTAAAGTAGAATTGCCATGGAAATGTCCAGCCGTCATCAGGCATAACGTGACTTCTCTGTCCCAGAGAGCATGGACGTATTCTGGTGTAAAAATAAGTGTGACATCCTCAGAACAAAAGCAAAAGTCCTTTTGAGGACGCTGACTGAAGCTTGGTAAGACGGTGCCATTATTCTCAGTGTTGTGAGTCACATACCAACATGGGCTGAAAGCTCGCTCAGAGGAAGAAGACATTATTTTAAAATAAAAAAACAGATTGTCACGCCCCTTTCTGATGCTGCCCTGGGCAACCGCCCCGATAGACCGTATCGAAAAACGGCCTTTAAAAAAAAAATGCTTAAGAAAAAAATTGTTATTGTCTCAAACCAAACATGTCAGAATATTCTCTTTTTTGTGTTTATTTATTTAGAAAGGCTTAAAGGAAGCCATTTTGTTTTAAGCTTTCATTTAGAAACATTCCTCTCCAGTCGTTTCCTGTAGAACTTGAGGGACGAGGCAGCAGCATGTAATTCATGTAAGAATGTGAAAAATGTTTAACTTTTGAACTGATGGAGCAGCTACAACCCGGAACACAAACAGATGTGCAATCCCTACAAAGAAGTTTTTGGGTTGTTTTTTTTGCAAATTTGCATTTTTTTTTTATTGAACACTTTATAAAGATTGTCAAGTAAATATCAAAGGACACACACGTTAAGCACCTGCACATTAACAGATTCTTAAAATAAATCACAATGTTACGATATAAAATGATAACAAAATAACTAATGCAAACATAAATAAAAAAAGACTGAGGCAGAGTTTATGATTGCTCAACTGTCCATCTTATCTGGAAGTTACTTAGGCGGTTGAAAAAAGGGACAAATTACATTGTTATATACAGTATTTACAATGTTGTATTTATAAAAATGTGAAATTAATGTCAAAACTTCTTCATTTTTTTGCCAGAAATTCACTCCTGGTGTCCATTATTTTTGTTTCTGTTATCCACAGTGGCTATAAAACTCCGTCGTATCATCATAATTCCCTTCTGAGCTGAACTGGATTAAGCTGTGACTGTCAGTCCATTCTTACCTTTACTATGACGAGACTGCAGAGCTTCCGTCCCGATCTGAGTGTCTATAAACGCTGCGTTCAGGTTTTTCTGTTTTAGGAACATAAAAGACAAATTGGTTCCACAAAGAGAAAAAAAAAGAGAGTCATAAATTCATCAACAAAGAAGGTTTGTCATGTCTGACCTGGTCCGTGCTGAAGGACGGTCTGAGAGACGCCACGGAGAAACAGAAACATGGTAGAAAAACAAGAACAAATCAGACAGTTTGCTACGGAACTTACAAAATAGTCAACAAGACAACATCTGTTTGTGTGTCAGATCAACATTGAGCAGCAGCATCATCCAGACAGGCAGCGTCTGTCTGAGTCCAGAGGAAATTACATTTCTTACTCTGGCTAGGAAGGTTTTCTGCTCTAGGCGGTGTGGCTCTTTGCTCAGGGCGACGCCTTGTTCCGGGCAGCAAACACAATTATAATTAAAAAAAGAAAAAAAAAATAGTTCCAAGCATTTTCAAGCAGCAGCGTATGGACTCCACAGTCTAGACATTGTAAGTTGGTGACGTCTGTATCTGATTCAGGATTCCTAGAATTTATTTATGTTTAATTAACAAACTATTTGGCATTTTTTAGTAAGTTTTGATTATCACCTTCAAATTTTAAACTTGGACTAAATAATTATGCTACACAAGATTATGAAAAAAAAAAAGGCCACACTTTCAGATTTGGAATTGGGGATCAACCGATATGAAAATTTGGGCTGATATCGGTATATTAAATGAAGGACGGTCCGATAACCAATATTTACTGATATTATATAAATATTATATGTTTCCTCTTCCTGAAATACAAACACAAACAACAGCAAGATGACAATATAGATCAGTCAGTAATTTCGTCCCAGTTTTATTCATCAAACCAATACCAATATTTTTTTTAAAAATGACAAATATCGTCCGATACGGACGCAGATGCCGATATATCGCACGTCGCTACTTTTTTACTTTGTTGATCTTCTTGCAACAAGAACTTGTTTTCTGATGTGGACACTCATAGAGAACTCAGGTAGAAGTTGATTGTGTAAAAGCAGCGTTGATGCTAAAGGTTTCCTGAAGGCTCCACATGTTTACCTGTGGTGTGTCCTGCAGATGTGGCTCAGCTTCTCAATGTGTTTCTGGCTGACGCTGTCTTCTTCCCGAGGCACCCAGCTCTCACCGTCCTCCTTCTCATTAAACTCACTCTCTGAAAAATGCAGATGAAATGTAATTTTAATGTTTTTCTAATAAAAACATTGTATTTTTTTAAGAAGAAACTACAATTTGGAAACCAGCAGATGCATGCAGTACCCCATTTCTCCTGCAGGGTTGTGAGATTAGAGAGCAGACGTTCATGGTAGAGCTTCTCCAACTGTAGGAACTGAATGGCCCACTGGTCTGATAGAGCGCCAGTTAAAGAAACACACACCCACACACACATACTGGCATTCAGCTACAATGCATCTTTGTTTTAGGTAAGCTTCAGCTTCCTAACTACTAAAACCTGCATGTACAAACAGAATGATAACATATTCGTCTCATAATAATAAACCTTCGATCATAGCAAGATACAGGAGGTATCTTGTTTACAACGGTAAATTATGTCATTGTTTTTCTTATCTATTTGCATTCACTAGATTGTAGCCATGACAGTTTACCATAAAAACGTGTTACTTGAAACACTTTTAGTTTGTAATTTTTTAAGATAAAAAATACATTAATTTTTCTCTGATCTTCCCTCTGACTTGGTGAGATTTATCCACTATTTCAAAGAGTACAAACAAAAAACTGTAAATACATTTGAATATTATAGGTTATTGAATATTTTTTATTTGTAATGTTTGTCATTATATCTGCTTTCTGCTTTTTTGTTTTTGTACCAATAGATTTACTGTAGAATCCTACAGGCCTGGCATTTTATTTTATATTTTGTGTTCAATTCCTTAATTTGTCTTTGTACTTGAAAAGAAAAAAAAAAAAAAAAGAATAGGTCAAACAAATGCTTTGGTAAAAAATTTCTTTAAGCCTAAAGTCAGCCAATTTGAGTCGTCTAATAGAACATTTTCATAAACTTTCTCCACCAAACCCTGCACTGCGTCTTGAGATGTTTGTCTATCTAAGTCTTGGATCATCTCTCTCCCGCTATACGTTAACCGCTCTCTCTGCCTCCACAAACCCGTAAACACGACACCCCGTTGCAGAGAAAAAAACAACAGGATGACAGCTGTTACCGGGGCAACAGCACAAACAGCGCAAGGGGAAAACTACAACTGCAAGCCAAAAGTGTGGGGAAACACCCAGAGCGTGCGAGGCAAAAAAAGACGGACAAAGATACAATTGAAAGAGATGAACGACGACAGCAGCAGCTCTTCTAGCTCATGTTTCATATTTATTAAGAATTTATTCTTTGGTAAATCCCTGCTTCATTCTGCTGAGTGGATATCACACTCCTGTGTCTGCAGCGTCTCACACGCCGGGCGGATCGGTCATGATTCGGTTGAAAGAAAGGAAAAAAAAAAAAAAGAGGTGTCACAGTGCACTACTAAGACATATGAGGTCATGATGAAGCTTAAAGGATACAGTCCTGCCTCAGTGAGCAGGTCTCTGCAATCTTAAAGAAAAAAAAAAATTATTCACAGATATATTACAATGTCAGTCCAGAGCGTGATCATTTAACGTTAAATCTTAAACTATATTTTGAGGCCTGCTTTAGGTTCTCCAGCTGCTTTTGTTTGAACACTGTCTAATCCTTTTAAAGATACTGATCAAATCTGTGCAAAGCAGAGCATGAAAAACAACCTGAGAGACAGAGTCACATGAATCTGCTTATGGTCCGGATTAAAACGTCTTAGTGGGATTTTCCCCTCATCTGAATACTTTTACCTTTATCCACATGACCAGCTCAACACTTTCTAGTCACACAGTATCATTTTATAGCGCAATCAAGTAATATGTTACTTGATGCTATTTTATCAAATACAACTTAAAATAAATTTTAGTTTGTAATTTAAACTCAAAACTCCGCCTTCAGGAAGTCATAATTTTCTTTTAACCCTTTAACAACGCTTTTACCAGTGCTGCACTGAGAAGTAGCTCCTATAATGAGCTCAGGTGATGCTCAGTTCCACCAGGTGTTTGCTAATTGCTGCTGGCTAGTCTGAAGGAGCTGAACTGAGCTATGTCCTTGAATGGACGCTATAAGAGATTACAAGGATTTCTCAAAAATGCATGAAAAAATCAAGACAACAGGCCAGGCATGTTTTGGTGAGGGGATAACAATATAACATGATGTAAAGTTGATTTTATATGATACTGCCCCTTTAAGACACACCATACAGCCATGGTGTTGTTTAAACTGACACTTCCATCCACCCCTGCTTCTAAAAACTCAGAAATGTTCAAAAGAGAGAAAAATAGACTCAGCAGCTCCAAACTGGGGCTCTGAGCTTCATCTGCGGTATTTCACATATTCATGGGCGTGTCATTGGCTGACTTTCTGAAAATCTGGAAAAGAAAAAAAATTCTTAAGAATTTTGCTCTTGGCACATATTAATATTACATATTACATAATCGTCTGAACTGAAAAAAAACAACAACAACTCTGACTCCATTCTCTATTAACTGGAGCGCTTTGTATACCTGTTTATATCCATTAAAATGTCAATGTGTCATCATGCTACAACTACAATCATCAATGGATTTTACATTTGGTTTACAGGTGGTAAACCAAACCAACACAAAGTAATGCATAATATGGAAAAAGATTTAAAGTTTCAGTTACAAATCTGTAAAGTGTGGAGTGTATTTGAATTCATTCTCCTTTACTCCAATTTCCATAAGTAAACAAACTGCATGTCCTTTGGCATGGCTATTTGTTTTATTTAGTATTTTTTGCCCCACTTCACTACGACACACTTTCTGTGTTGATCTGTCTCATAAAATCCCAATTAAAAAAATAATAAAAACCCTGAGGTTCGTAGATCAAATGAGACTAAATGTTTCAGGGGTGGAAACAAATACTTTAGGAAGGCGTTGTAGCAGTTGTTAAAGTCAGGGTTGTTTGGATAGTTTTTTTGCACTTCTTAAATTTATTTATTTTTTCTAAATGTTTTTTTTTTTTAATTGCTCAGGTTATCTGGGTTTTAATTTATTATCAATATTTTTTGGATGATCCGTACATATCCAGACACAGATTAATACATTTATTTCATGTCTGATGATCAGATTTAATAAAAGCCATCTGTTGTATTCACTAATAACAAAGGAAATATACATTTTGTATGCATGACTAACACAGACAAACATCCCATAATTACAAGAGCAGACGAGTCATATGCACCAATGCACCCACACACACACACACACACACATACGCACGCACACACACGCACAGGCACACACACAATGTCTTTTTTTCTGTCAGGCTAAATAAAGACACATTGTATTCCCTCTGGATTCAGAAGAATATGTTCCTCCCTGTTTCTCTGAACCACATGGATACACACACACACACACGCACACACACGCACACACGCACACTCACACACACGCGCACACACACACACACACACACACAGGAGGACACACACCTGGTGCAGGGACTGCGGCAGCAGAGTGTAGTCGTCATTTTCTCCCAGGGCCTGCAGGGAGGCCAGCAGCTCCAGACTGGGGCTCTGAACTTCATCTGTGGCAATGCTTCCTAGAAACAAAACAAAACAAAACAAAAGAACATCAAAAACCAAACACTGGAATTAATCCATACTTGATGGGTCAGAAACCTGCTGTTCCCATTTTTTTGTCAAATCAGATGTGTAACAAAGTTATATTTGTGTCTGTTAAATCACAGTCGCTCAAAGAAAACCCTCAGATTAGAGAAAACCATCTGAGAACAGTTGTACCTGCATCAGAGCATCAGATCAAATGACAGCGTTAGCTTCATTAGCTCAGTGTTAGCTCATGCCAGCGGGGTGTGGCACTCCTCTGGGGCTCAACGCAACTCGGCGCAGCAGACGTTAGAGAAAGCAGACACAATGCAATTATCCTAGCTTAGTAAAATAAATTTTAAATAAAAAAAAAACTAAAATTTGTTTTTGTATTTCATTTAAAATCTAAGCTAATGATCTGTTGTAGATATTGAAAGAAATTTGCTATTTTGCTTTGAAGGATCTTGTAGGTTTCGTGGCTCAAAAGAAAATTTGTTTAGCTGGATTAAAGGCAAAAATGACACTCAGGGTTGGACAGATTAGTGAGCCATTCAGCTTCTACGAACTTCCAGAAAACTGTAAAACCACTGAAACATAGAGTTCCTTCTAAATCGAGGCTAAAAACCAAATCGTTTACAGTTCCCTTTGATTCCTAGCACACAGATCCATTTATTTAATGTATATTTACTTGATAAGTCTGATGATGGCATTTAACAAAATATAAAGTTTATTATCTCATAATTGGTTACTGTATTATGTTTTGTTTCTGGTGTAAAATTTGAACTGTCTTGTTGCTGCAGTGTGCTACACAAATAAACTTGACGTGGTCCCTTCTCTAGTCCAAAGAAAGTTTTAAACTAGTAGAAGTTACCATGACAACCTGTTCTGTTCTGCATGAGATCTGGCATTTAAACTTCTTCCAAAACAACATTTTATTACCTCCCTAAGTATTTTTTATTTTTTTGCCAAAAGATGATTTAGGCAAATATATATATATATATTGGCAAAAAATTTGCTTCTGCCGTTATTTAAAGAGTTATTTTTAAGTTCACCCTGTAACTGCTCTGCACCATTTTTTATATTACATTTAAAAAAAACTCCAACAAAGAATTTAAATCTGCATTCTTTGAAGCCTAAAAACTCAACAACGAGGCCGTGTTTTACCTATAGCGCTGCTGACCAATGCTGCGTCTTCTTTCCCAGTGACCCCGCCTCCAGAACCTCTGGGTGGAACGGCGTTTTTGTTCCCCATCCCGTGCGACGCGCCCAGAGTTTACCCTTAAAGTTTCTAAAGTTGCAGAGAGAACCCGTTCCAGGCAGGTTCCCTTCGTTTCAGCCCCCTTGGGAAAACATGAACTGCTCTGAGTTTATCGGAACACTTCCTCCGAGCAGAGATAAGGAAATTACTTTGGAAAATTTACTCTGCCATACAGCCCATGGGAGGGCGGGGGGATGAGGGGCAGAGTTAAGAGGTGCTCCAGTGATCCACTGTGGACGGGGTGTGTATTTAATCTCTCCTGGGTGGCCAGAAGAACAAAGGGAAGCTGAAATGTTCATAAATGTGGCGCTGAGGCCAACTCCAGCTGCCTTCCTCTTCGCTTGAATCCCTTCCACCAGTCGTCCTGTCAAAACAAACAAAAAAAACAGAACAACAGATATGGACTGAGCCCTCTGATCTAGAGAAAGAATCACTGGTGGAGTGGTCATTATGTTGTCGACTTGATGGGTTTCCTTTGTGTTTAAAGTACGGGTACTGACTATAGTTCAGCAGTGAAGTAGAGCAACTGTCAATGCACAGACAGATCTGTGTTTGCTATTAATTATTTATCACTGCTTCTTTAATCTGAAATGGCAGCTTTGGAATAAGAAATTAATTGTGAAGGCCTTATTAAAGGAACAAATATCCAATAAATGGGTAAACTGCACACAAACTGGACTATTGTTTGACTTAGAAAACAAGGATTGGTTTTTGATATGAGCCAAGTGGGCGGTTGCTCAGGGCAGCATTAGAAAGAGAATCACGTCATCAACAGATCAAAAATAAAACATTAATCTGAGAAGCAGCCAAATAAATTTAGGAAATAAATAATGCACATTAATGACTCAGGGGCGATGAATATAGATGCAAGTTTGAATTTGTAGGTTTTCTCTGTGGAGAATTTTTAAAACTTCGTGTCCTTTTGCTTCCACAGTCATACACCACCTAGTGTTGTGTGCATCACATTGAATCTCAGAATTTCCAGTAAAATACAATGAAGTTTGTGGCTGTGAGATAATGAAATATAGAACATTGCAAATACTATTAACATTTTTACATTTTTTATAGCAAACAAGGCTTAAAATAAATCTGACTTTGAAATTCAATGCCTTAAAATTTAAGGCCTCTGTCTCTTTAAGAAGATCCTGCTCTTTCTGAAACTCCGCATTCAGGAAGTTATGACAACACGGCTCCTCTATTAACCCTTTCACAACATTTTTACCAGAGTTTCACTGAGAAGTACCTCCTATAATGAACTCAGCAGATGTGCAGTTCAACCAGGTGTTTGCTAATTGCTGTTGGCTAGTCTGAAGGAGCTGAGTGGGGGAGGAGCTGCGCCTTGAAGGCGGGGCTAGGCCCCTAGGTGTTTTGCACACCTGAATGGTTGCCACGGGAGATTAAAGGATTTCTAAAACATGCATAAAACAAACAAAGCAACACTCCAGGTGTGTTTGTGATGAGAGAATAACATTATAACATGAAGTACAGCTCAAAAAAGCCAATTTTACCCAATACTTTTACCTGAATGTTTAGACACAAGCTAACAAAAACTAGAACATCGTCCCATTTTTGGCTTACTATGCAGGACAATAACAGTTCTGCTGCACATATGAAAATTTCTGCCTCATGTAGCTTACATTTTCAGCCTAATGTCTGAGGGCATGAAATCTGTGCGATGCTCAAGCAGCCTGTTAGCTGTCATGGGAAAGTTATGGACTCTGCAACATGGAATGTGACATAAAGTACAAACGCCAACAGCAGGGTCTGACTCACAGGGTTTGCAGCTTTGGAGCTGAGAATGATGCAGTGGAGGCTTAAAAGATGAAATTCTGTGTGAATCACAGCATGACATTTCTGGGTTTGCTTCAACAGATTCTATTTTGCTACTTAGAAATGTATTGAAGCCATGAGCTAAATACTGTTTTTAATCCAACAGGGTGGGGGTTTTCTGCCACATCACCTGAGACAATTTGGAGGAAAACAATTGCCTGAGAAAAGTAAATATGTTCTCCTTTTCTAGGATGTTATGTTGTGAGGGAGCTGCTTACCTCCTCTCTAGACTAGCTGTTAGCTTTCGCCACTCCAGAAATGCATCAGTCTATTGAAAGAAGGAGAACGAATGGACACATAAGTTATACAGCAGCACAATGATCATAGCAACAGCAGAAAATCTGAATTGCTCAAAAAATGAGTAGGTTCTGGAGTGGCCTTGTCAAAGTCCAGACTGCAATTTGATTGAGATGCGGAGACATGACATTGTCAATGCTCAAAGCCGATGAACTGAAACAATTTTGTAAATAAGAGCGGGTCAAAACTTCTTCAAAGTGATGAAAAGGAATAATTGCCAGTCACAACAAACACTGCTGTTGCCAGGAAGGTCAGAATCAGTTACTGGGTTAGTGGGGCAACTGCTTTTTCTGAAGTCCTTCCAATGGCTCCCTGTAGCTCAGAGAAAAGACTTTTGTTAGTTTATAAATCACTCAATAGTTTAGCAACAAAATGCATTAAACATCTATGGTCGTTGAATCAGTCTTCCAGACCTCTCTGGTTTTCTCTGGACTGCTCTGCATCCCCAACATGGAGAAGCAGCATTCTGTTTATGCTCCACTAATCTGGAACAAACTTCCAGAAAACTGCTGACACACTGAGTTTCCTTAAATCAGAGGTAGAAATCCATTTGTTTAGAGCTGCTTTTGACTAACATTAGACTAAGTCTAGTCTGGATTGCAACTTTTCATTACTTATAATGCATAATGTTTTGGGGCCTTTTGTGTTTATTGTGTTATATAAAACAGTTTGAATTACCTTGGTTATGAAATATGTTATACAAAGCTTGGGTAGCTCAGGGTTGTCCTAGCTTGTTCTTCAGCTAGAAAACCCACTTCTGTTCATGTTGAAAAACCAGACCAGACATCAATGTGTACTGTCATTTGACATAACTGATTATGTAATAGAATTGAATGTAACAAATAACTCTATATGACAAAGCTGGGACAAAAAAACTATCTGTAATTAATATCTGCTTATGTATTTCGGTGTTAGATCCCACGAATTCTGCTGAATAAACCACCACATACTATTTCTGAAGGCCAAACTACCACTAATTTGCATTCATACCTTAAAAGTTAAATATTTCCAGATCAGTTTAGGAACCTCGGGAAGTCTCCCCAACTCTTCCCGCTGAATTATCTGGATATTTTATCCGAATGTCCCTTTAGAGGAACTAAAGTGCAGGTGGCTCCCGGGTTGTGCACGTGTCTCTGACACAACTGCAGCTCGCGCTCCCCCCGTTTTAACGACTTTGTTTACAGCTGAGCCTGTCAGTCTGGACCAAATGTGCTCTATATCATCCGACATGAAAGCTAGAAACTGACCTTAAAGGACAGAACAGACCTCCGCATCCTTATGTCAGCATCATTAACGAGACTAAAGTAGGTTACCGAGTTTAAAGCGGTCCGTCTCCGTTATGACTGCTGGAATAATCACCACTTCCTGTGTTACTGTACCCCAAACAGCCATGGTACTGGTCTACGCCAGTGTCTGGTCTTTAGGACAGAGAACACGGGCTGTGAGGATGGATGGAGGGCTGCACTCACTCACTGCTGGATGGTGCCTCTCGGTTGGCCGTCTGTCCTAACATCAACGCCCTGGATCAGCGTCGCGGCGTTTCCTCTTCTCTACCCGCGGCTAAATCCGGTCAAACTTCCGTCTGTATCCCGCACTCTTCCAGCCTGCTTGTTTACGCTATTATCTGGGGATTTTTTTTTCTGCTTCTTCTCGCCGCAAACACATATATAAATAAATATACCCATCTCCCAACAGGAGCTGGTTATTTAGTTCATTCTGCGGGCGTCCGATGCTGCCATCTTCTGGCAGATGTGGCCCACTGGCCCCTGGTGGTGTCGGTGCTTACGTAACAACAGATGAAGCGTTCAGGAGATAAAACAGGGCAGAGGATGACAGGAGAAACGGCAAAATGTGACCTGCACCGTATTGCCTCCATTACATAAGCAGAACAGAGCACATTTATGTTCATTAGCCGAATCACTGCAATATATCTATAGGTTTTTATTATGAATTATCTTCAATATTCTACTCGCAAATGTACACTCAAAAAACGGAATTGGTTAAGCCACAAAAAAAAAACTGTTAATGGTTTTTAATATGGGCATTTTGAAAATGGCCACCAGATGAAAGAATCATAATGAAAACTTGGAACATTTCTGAAGAAATTTAAATGGGGCCTGCCAAAGTGTGCTCGTCGGTTGGAATCCAGCGTTCTGATGCTAAAAATTTGCATAAATGCTAAAGTGAGCTACAGTGTATTCAATAGCATGTGGAGAGTCACAAGCATGTTGAGCAACATGGACTTACTCTATTCAGTGTTAAAATTAGTGTATGAGCTAATATTAGAAAAAATGCTAATGTTACCCTAAATGCTGCTAGTGGCATGTGGGGTCTCACTAGCATGTTGTCTTACATTGACTTCCTCCATTCAGTGTGCTAAACATGGCTAATAAGTAAACAAAACAGCTTAAAAGCTTATTTTAGGGAAAAGGCTACTGCTAATGTGGGCAGTAGTTACTGCTAATGTTTGTGCTAATGTTAATGAAATGCCTTCTGATTTTTACTTTTGCAAAAGTAAAAATCAGACGTTTACTTCATGGCACTTGGTTACCAGAAAACATGCTCATCTCTTAATCTCTTAGCAACAAATTAACAACAAATATTGTTATTGTTCAAAAAAAATTCTGCTGCTCTTTTGAAATACTGTTTATCTTATACTACTTTAAAAGAACTGTGCAGTTGATGAATTTTTCAGAAAATTGATTTTTTTTTTTTTTTTTTTTCTTTGGGGGGGAAATTTTTTAAAAAAAAAAATTCAAAAAAAAAGAAAAAATTGGTTTTTAATTTTT